CGCCTCCTTGCGGCGCAGCCATGGGCGGCTGGTGGGCGAGGTGGACGCTCGCGACGGGCGGCGGGGCGTCGGGGTCGCGGTCCCAGGCGAAGAGGGCGCCAAAGGGAAAGTGCTGGACGACGGGGAACTTGGCGAGGACCTCGGCGGCGAACATTTTGAGCATGCCCTTGTTGATCTTGGCCCAGCCGTCGCGGATGCCGCTGATGTCGAAGAGGAGGGGCGAGTGCTCCCAAAAGGGCCCCGTCTTGACGTCGTTGATGAAGCCGACGGCGGCGAAGTAGAGGTTGGCGGCGCGGCGGTCGGTGTCGACGGCGTCGGGGCGGGCGACGTCGGCGGGGCGCGGGGCGCCGCGGACGGAGCCCTCTTGGGGCATCGGGGATGAGGGCGGCACGGCGCGGCTCAGCTGGGCGGAGCCGAGGATGTAGGGGAGGAAAGCGTGGTCATCGAGGCCCCAGACGCCGTGGGAGCCGGCGGGCTCGAGAGTGTAGGTCTTGATGAGGGTGCGGACGAGGGACAGGTAGGGGCCCAGGACGGCGAGTGCGATGAGGCGCTCCGTGTCGCCGGGGGATGAGGACGGAGAGGAGAGGAAGAAGTTGAGCTTGTAGAGGCCGCCGAGGAAGGCTAGGAAGGACAGCTCGTGGCCGGTGCCGTAGTCCAGACGCTGCGGGCTGCCGAAGGAACCGAGAAAGTAGGCCTGGAGCTCTGGCAGCGGCGAAGAGCCGCCAAAGTTGAGAATCTCGGGGGGCAGAAGATTGGCGAGGAGGGTTGGCGCGTGAGACTCGAGCAGCTTGGACCAGGTGCGGAAGCTAGCGTTGCCGAACCGGCGAGGGCCCGGATCCGGGGGCGCTTCGGTGACGAGGGCCTCTGCCGAGTGGAGAAGTGACTGCAGAGCAAGGATCTGGGGGGGCAGGTCGGCGGCGGGGGGGATGGAGGTTGAGGGATACGTCTTGATGGATTCCTTTGTGGTCGAAGTGGCTGGTATGAGCTCGGGGCAGAGAGAGCGGTTCAGCTGGAGGACGAAAGTCGTGATGTCGCGGTGAGCCTTTGATTCGAGAAACGTAGAGACATCGGGGCCCTCGTTGATGCACTTGACGGGGGGTTGAAAGACGTGTGGTGTTGAGGGGTCGAGTTTTGTGAGGCAGGGGTGAGGGGATGTGGCACCTGCAGGTGGCGGCGGGGGATCCATGATGTGATGTGCGCTCTCGTTCTTGTCTCTCAAAACTTGTCTCGTTTTGAGATGCCTGATAAATGCACACTTGGTGCTGGGTAGACAAGTGCTGTAGCGGTGGCGTCGAGATGAAGGTCGCGATGCTGTGCTCCACGTTCAAGATGCTGGCAGCGACGAGAAGGGACCGACGTCAGGTGGGGGCTGACTCAGCAGTCCGAAGCCGTCCACGAAAGGACCCTCGAAGGCGGTCGCCTTTCGCTTTTCGATGCAGCAACAGCCAACCATGTGCCGCTCGTGCAAGCCGCCTACCCAGAGAAGCCGGCCTCATATCTCCTGAAGATTCACTGCCCGCGACGAGAGATAGATTGCTGGTCAAAGAATTTCTCGCCTTGTAGTCCTGGTAGTCATGAAACATGCCATCCATATCGTCATCCTGCGTCCTTGACCGGCTTCAGTTGCCGCGTTGCTACCCATGTCCTTCTACTGCCGCGAAGCAAATAGAACGCGGACCCTGTGTTCCATCAAATCACTGGTTGTTCTTCAATCATGAGTGCTATAGAAAGACATCAGAGGAGCTAGCACGCGAAGTTTATCCAGAGTGACGATTGTATAGAGAAAGAATAGACAGCCACGTAAATGATGCCTCCCAAAACAGAAAAAAGCATGCCGTACGCTGCTACCTACGTACATCGTTGCCCTCGGACTCTGTCCCGCTGTTTAGCAGTCTGTCGATTTGCCATTGGTATTGGAATCACTTCATAACTATATGCCTGCCGTTCATCGCCTTGGCTTTTGATGCGCTTTGAAATTAGTCGCGCGGTCCTCTGTGTGTTGGAGAATACTAGCATCTGGCGCAAGATTTCAGACTGGGCCACACTTCGAATGAGCCCGTGGGCGACGAATGATCCTAACAATGTCTCTCTGCAATTTCTTACTCGAGCCAAAGCGTTCACTTGCCTTCTCCTTTGCCATTCTAGAACCATTGCTGCTAGTTGAAGACGCTTTAAAGGGCACTAGCGGGGTGTAAGATGGACTGACTCCATGACCCCATGAACTTCCCAAACCCAACTAAGTCCTTATCGGTAGTGAGAAGAGACTTGAGGAGTGGAGACGAGAGGTAGGATATGATCTAAGGGTGTATAATTAGCATTCAGAACTTCCCGAATTGCCCTTCGGCAATCCGGATGTAGCTATACAGGTCCGCATCCGTGTCGAGGGAACCAAAGGGATCGCCGTCGACAAGGTCTAAAATGACATTCAGGGTGAAGTACTGTGCCTTCCAACCAAAGTCGAAGGGACGGTTGGTAACGAAGTAGCGCATCTCAAGGGACCTCACCAGAGCCAGGGTGTTCTTGTCGATGTTGGACTCAACTCGCTCGACTTCTTTGCCTGGGTGCCCGGCAGCCATCTTCGCTGTGCTTCTTCGAAGGGCACATTGCAAGGTTGTCTTTGTCAGGATCAAAGCGAACAGCCTTGTACTACTCACTCCGCCGGTAGGGCATCCTCGCGGCGTTGATCCTTTTAATGGGGTCGGGGTCGCTGGTGAGGACATGATAGGGTCCCACCTTGGCATTTGGCTCTACGAACATCTCAGTTAGATATCGGTTTATTGAGTAATTATAGGAGCATTAGTAGGAGCTTGTCGTATTTCTCATTCTTCTCAAAGAACGCATTGTGGCCCTCTCCGCTAAGCGCTTGCCGAAGAAGCCAGATTCGACTCCAGCCGGGTGTTGGAGGGCCAGGAATGTAGTACAGGCGGAGATAGCGGCAGCGCCGGAAGATGAGACTTCGCAGTACTAGGAGAACAGTAACGGTACCCAACAGAACTAGAACGAAGCGGGCACTGGGAATTGGGCTTCTCTACGTTGAATTCTCTGAATAGACGCAGCGATTGAAATCATGACGTCGGACCTCTATTGCTTTCCTCGATTAAGACTCATAGTCGAGCACGACGCGAAGAAGTCTTTCTCTTGTCATACACAGACCTAAGCGTATGCGTATAGAAACCCGTAACATCCTAAATCTCAACACTATCACAAACATCTTCCTTAGTCTTCTACCTACCTATCTGATGCCTGGACTTTTTACCACTATCTTTACCAAGGTAAATTAGCCAAACTTATCTTATCTACGACCTGCCTGTTAGATAGCTTTACCCTGAAGCCCCTACAGACAATTACTGACTTTGCAGTAAGCGCCGAAGAGCCTTGGATGTGATGTGACGACAGGCATATGTCCGTAGTACTGTGCGTAGAAGCGAGGGTGGATTGTTGGGTTGGGGGCGCTGGCGTAGGCGTGGGCATGGGCGCGTCGCGGCCCTTCTAGAACGTTAGGGTGTCCCAGAGTAGCGAAGGTAGTGCCATTGAGTGGGATGGTGTGCTGGGAATCAATGGTGTCGAGCTCGAGGCTGCACGTAGCGGATAAATGCCGAGACGCGTTGGTGGTGTGGTGGTTGGTGCATGGAATAAGAAAACTTGAAGTGTCGAGTCGGGACTTCATTTGGGTACAGCTACAACGCCCACGCAATCACGCGGCCGTTCCTCACTCCACTAACTATCCAAATCCTGCGCTACCATTCTCAGCAACGTACCCTCTTGAACGTATGGGTCAAGGATGTGTTCGACTTTCTCCGCCCAGTCATCATGCCAGTTAAAAAAAGAAAAGCAGTACGAGTAGTTCCAGTAGCTCGGGTACCAGCCCGCATCCTCCCAGTCCAGGACGGCCACCACCTCGAAATATCTCCGCGAATCACTAGAGTCAGCGGCACTTAGAGGGCGCTGCTTTTCCCAAATGAGAATATTCTTGCGCTGAAAGTCCGAATGGGTGAAGACACTGGTATGGCCTCGCAACGTATTCGAGAGGTGGCGCTCGAAAAAGTCAGTCATCCAGCCTCGTCTTCCGGCCAACCCCCAGTTGTACCGAGACTTCAAGACGAGCGCGCGACACAGGTCTTCCTCTTGATCAAAGGGCCCAGTGATGCGTCTGTCCTTTTCCCTGGAGAAGAACCATCGATTTGGAAGGGGACCCCCGCAAACACCTCCGAAGATGTCCGGCGATGGGAGAGCTCGCAGACAGTCGAAGATCGCCCGCAATTGGTTCACGATGGGGGATTTTTCATCTTCAGACAGAGATGACCACGTATCGCTCAGTTGGTGTCCTTGTATGAACTCCATGATAATGTAAAGCTTTTCATTCTCCCGATACATGGCGTAAAGTCGAGGTGCGGGGACACCGTGGACGGGATCCAAAAATAGCAGGGCGTGTCCCTCATTCTCGAAAACGAAACGCCCGTATTTGACGACAAAATGTTCGTTTACCAGCACAGTGCGTCGGGCACTTGAATCGAAGATGCTGGGGAATTCTCCGGTAGTGGCTTCAATTTCAGCAGTCGTCGGGAGGGCTCCGGGCAGTTCATTCTTGTCGCGAATCCATGGCAGCATAGGTGCCGTGGGGATTCGATTGCTTGTCGGCATCATGTTGCGATTGTCGGTGGGTGCTCGAGGTGGTTGCTAAGTGAAGGTTTATATATAAAATTTAAATATTATATTACGATTTCTATAGCTTAACCTTTATAATATAAATGTTGAGAGGGCTCCACTGCTTATGTGAACCCTGATTCATTGCTTTGGCTGTGCCTGAGAGCTCTGAATACGTAGGGTAGGTGATATAAGTCTTGTGATGTGATTGATGCTGTCTCTCTGAATTAACACTACCCACGTGAGTCAGATATACCCATCTGATTAACCGATCACGTAAGCTGTGATTCACGTGCTCCTGAGAGCTGTGAATCCGCAGCTACAGTAATCACCATATCGGTGATCCCCTACCGAGATCACCGCCCTTGGGAATCCCCTAACATTGGTTCAACAATTTAATTATAAAATAAAAGATTATTCTCATATTAATTCAAGAAATAATACTTACTTATTATTGGACTAGGAATTGAAATAATTTATTCTTTATAACATTTTTTAATTATTATAGTTTACGGCCCTTCTTCTTGGTCTCAGACACGCCTGGCCGGAGTAGCATTATGCCCCATACCAAACCACGTCCAAATGCTTCAATCTTCTTCACCTCAGAGGGCCAGGTCGCTGCTCATATAAACCATTATACCTCGAACAGGAAGCCAACCCTGTGTCGGCTCGGTTACGTCCTTCCCCAACAGCACTCATGAAACCTACACTTCAAAGGGCACAGGCAAACCTTAGGTGGCTTGACCGAAGGAATAGATGCCCGCTGCATTTGTCCGAGACGTGCTTGGGCAAGGACGCACTGCCACCATGCAATGCAGATGGAACCGTCCCCCCCGAAATTGCATCGTCATCACCGCTGGCCGCCCCCCTGGCAGATAGACCAGGCAAAGCAACACACAGGCATCCATCCCATCCGCAAATGAACACAACAGAGAAGAAGCAGTCCCAGCCCAGCGCCGCTACACAGTCCCCAAGGCACGGGCGCACCAGTAGCCGAACGTTCCATCACACGCAGCTGTACGCCCTCCTCTCCCTCGAGCGACGGAACCGAAGCAGCGTGCCTCCCTTGATGGCGCAATACAGGGCGAGCGCCCGGCCAGAACAACAAGCTGCTCGCCTGCCGAAACGTTCCAGCCCGCTTCGTGCCCTTTTCCCACCATCTTCATGGCGGAGCATTGTTCTTTTCCTTCAGCTCCCCGATTGCAGTGTATAGTCGACGCCACGGCTCTTGGTTGGGGGCTGGGCTGACGGAATCCACCCCCCTCCCCCCCTGGTATCTACTCCGCACGAATACGAACAGGGGAAATTCCAGCACGCGCGCCTGCGCGGGCGCCTGCGTAGCCTGTGCCATGACATCTCCTCGTCCGCTCTTCTTCCCGCACTGGAGTTCCGCCCCTTTTTTCTTTGAACCCCCCCCTAATATAGCATGTCGTGACTGGTCGAGGTTCGAGATCGAGGTATTGGCGGTGAGATGCGACTGCGGCTTGTGCGTCTCCCCGACCCTGGCTCCTCCGCCCATGATGTCGGGACAAGCTTTCTGCGATCTTGGGGCTCGGTAGCATTCAAATGCTTGGGTCCCGTTCATTTTTGTGGTCCTTCGCGAGCGCTACGATGCCTCCCTGCGGAGGGCGTGTCATGCTAAGAAGCGTGCGTTACGCGAGTTCTAGACTCTTTGAGATTCGATGGAGTGGCGTAGCTGTGGAATTCCTCCCCCGTTATGACCCTCACGAGTATCAGCGTCCTCGGTTAGCTGGTATTACTTGCTTGTGGTCGTCGAAAAAAAAAGTGTACCAGGCAGATGGTAGCGCCATCACTGTCACTCAAGCATGGTATTGCAACAGGCATTCAGAGAACAGAAAAAAATGAATTAGACATGTATCGTTGATGCTGGTGCTTTGTAATCTTACAAGGGCTCGCCGGCCCTTTGATGGTATCAGTAAGGACGAGGTGGTGGTGGGCCTCGTCCCGGAGGCCGATGTCCTGGCGGGCCATGTCCTGGGGGACCGAGCCCCGGAGGGCCAGACCCAGGGGGGCCATGCCCCGGCGGACCATGGCCATGTGGCGGGCCATGCCCCTTGAGGCCCGACGTGCCCGGGTAGAAGGGCAGCGTGCGATACCTCCATAATCGCTTCCGCTCCTTGGCCCACCACTTGCCCACCGCAACAGCCTCCTCGGCCCAGACCTTGGCGTCCTTGCCCATCTTCTTCTCGACGCTGGCGACCATCTCGTCATACGTCCAAGCCGTCACGGCCTTTCGCTCTGTCGGATCCTCCGCCAGGTTCGAGACCATGTACTCAAACACTTTTTCGAGCGGCATGTTGAGCTTGTACGGCACATCAGCTGACGTTACAGTCAACATGCCGGCACCCGAGTTGATGACTGAAAAGTTCCACGCCCGCCGCTTGCCGTCCTTCTTCTTGTACTCCCGCACAAGAGACTGCCCTTCGTAGTCCTGCGCGAGATCCGTTGCCATCTCGGTATCGCGCTTGTTGAGAGAGCCGCTGCTGACAAGCAGATCAAGAATAGTTGGCAGGACAGAGATGGACGTCGCATTGACGGCGGACTGTACGCGCGGCAGGTGCGGATGGCGGAATGTAATGGGTACGCGGAAGTCGGAGACGTGGGGCACTTCGTATGTCCCCGTCTTGCGGTAGTCCTCCTTAAATGTTTGACCGTGGTCACCGATGAAGACAATCAACGTCTCGTTCGTCATGTCGAGGTCGTCGAAGAGCTGCATGAGCTCGCCCATCCACTTGTCGTGATAGCGGAGGGTGTTGAGGTATTTGTTGAAATCTGTGTGCCACGCGTTGCTGCCCTTGCTGGGCAGGTAATCGAGTGTGCTGAAATCGCTGGGGGTATCCCAAGCGTGGTGGGTTGTACTGGTGAAATGCGACATCCAGATGCGCTTGTCCTTGGCGCGGGCGCTGCGCACGAATTCTGAAATGTGCGGCTTGAGGACGGGTTCGGGATATGCGAAGTAGTTTACCTTCTGGTTTAAGATCTTGGACGAGTTGAACCTGGGACTCTCCTCAATCTGCTTTCGCGTGACAATGTGCTTGAATCCAATCTTTTGGTCGAAGATTTCCTGCCTGTCATATTCCTCCACCTCCGCCTCGAAAAGGGCCGGCATCCATTCCTGATCGCGGAAGTCATCGCTGGGCGCCTCGTCATCAACCTTGGCTTTGTTGAAAAGGTCGAGAACTTGCGGGATGCATGGCTGGTAGCTGTCGGTGTCAGCCTCGTCGAATTTGTCCACGGGCATCGGCCAGGCGCCGCAGTGCACCGAACCAAAGCTCTTTGTCGACATGGAAGCAGCAGTGTAGGAGCCGACGACGTTGACGCCACCGAATCCTTTTGCACTGGAATCAGTCCAATGCTTCTTTGCCTTTGGGAACTCCTTGCCGGCGGAGTCCTTGAAGCCACCCGAGACTCCAGAGATCTGTTCGATATGCGGAGCCATCTGGGACAATAATTGGTTGATCTTATCCTTCGCTGCCTTTGACTCGCCTTCGTGCGACTTCATAATGTTCTTCCACGGCTCTGATCCTTGCTTGATCGGCCAGAATTCCTGGCGCAAGCTCTCCATGAGAACGAGCACAACGTTCTTGATCTTGATAGAGCCGTCTTCAAGTGGCTTTCGCAGGGGCTCCAAGATATCATTGTCGAGGTTGGTAATCTTAAGCGGGTCGTTTACCGGATTGTAGAAGGGCGGCTCCAGGGGGACGTTTGGGCAAAATGGCGTCTGGCCCGGCCCCTTGGGCTTGTGCGATCCGAGGAAGCCATTCTTGAAGCGAAGGGGGTCCCATCGGAAGAAGCCGCGCGGCAGCTCCTCGGGGAGCCACTGCGGCGTCGTCTCACGGTACTCCTGCGCCAGCTTGCTATCGGAGCCTGGTGCCCAGCCCTTGGAGTTGGCACCGGGCTTCTGCCAGTGATCCTCCGCGAGCAGGTCGGGAAACGGCCAGGGGTTGTCATAGATGCTGTTCTGCAGGGTGCAGTAGTCGGCATGGTTTTGGAAGACGTCCAGCATAGAGATGGGCAGGGTGATGGACATGTAGTCGTAAGGCCGTGCGGGCCGTGTGATGTGAGCAATGGTCAGGTACATCGCAGAGAAGAGCAAGCCGATCCAAGCTGGGAGGCGTCGGCGTCGGCGGCTCCGTTCAGGCTGGTCGTACTCGTAACCCTTCTCATGAACCGACTCGTCTAGGAGCGTCGAAACGTCGGAGTGGTCCTCACTGAATCGCGCTGTGCCGTGATGTAGCAGCATCTCGGCCGAGGCGGCACAATCTTCATCGCGATCCTTATTCAGGGGGTGGGTATCGCGTTTCTCGGCGCGCGACCTGCGAAGTTGAGCAGAACGAAACTTGGACAGCCAGCGAAGGATCGACAGAACATCTTCGCCGAAGGCCTGCAGAACATTGCCGACGGCATTGTGCAGGATGTTGCGGAGAACGAAGCCAACGGCGTAGATGGCACCGGTAAAGGCCAGCAAGGCAGCACTACCGGAGAGGAGGACTTCGAGACCCTCCTTGTTGGCGTAGGCCTGAGCATCGCGCCATTGCAGTTCGCCACTGGTTTGGGCGAAGAATCCGAGCTGAGAAGCTGCTCCACCGACAGCGATGAAGCTGATGAGAGGGTTGTCATGTTAGTTATAATCCTCTCCTCTTTCCCGCAGGCATGACGGGGAAGGGGGGATGGCTCGAGTGTACATCATGCTCTGCACAAACTTGTGCGCAGCTCGTGTGCCAAGAAGAGGCAGGTGGACACGGATATAAAAAAAAAAAAAAACCTTACGAGATGAGAGAGCCGATGGAGACGGGGATGAGCCAGAAGCCGCCCCGAGAATTCTGTAACAAGAGGCGAAGTACGAAAATGGCGAGCAGATCGTAGATCAAGAAGGTCGGCAGATAGATGATGAACGCGCTGAAGGGAACAGTGGAGAAGTGAGCGATGAGGTGGACGGCCTTGCTGGCGAGGATGGCGACGGTGAAGGAGGAGAAGAAGAAAGGCGCTGGAGAACCGAGGAAAGCCATGGCCGCGGCGGCTTGGGTGGGCGTGGAGCGAGTGGTGCGGAACGTGTTGAAGCGTCCGTCACCAGGCCATCCGAGAGAGTGAAGGGGTCCCGAAGGAGAGTTGAAGGTGGTGAAAGGAGGAGAAAGTGGGCAGGAGCAGGATGTTACGAAATCGACGGGATCGTGGTTGCCGTTAGGGGGGGGCTACTTTAGAAGTAAGGCAAGGTACCTCAGCAGGTACCTGGCCTTGCCTTAGTCGGTAACACATACCCATCCGTCACTCACGGGCCACGCCCGGGAGCCTGACCCTGGATCATGGAAGGAAGGAAGGGGCCCAACAAGGAAATGCAGTTACAAGCTGTGCTGTCAACGAGGGGGCCAACCCGGCCGGGGAGGGGGGCGAGGGTGGAGGGGGCCGCGAGATACAGGGCGAAGACGGAATGAAAGGGAGTGTAGTGTCGCGTGCGCCCCAGTCTATTCGTAGATCGCAGGATCCGCTTCGAACACATCTTCCCGGTGCTGTACCCTTTCCCATGCTAGGCGGAGTGGCGCTGGGCGATGGCGCTGTCCCGATATTTTACTTGCTTTGGGGGAGGAGGCTTTGGCTGGACCTTTCGGGGGGGGGGGTGTCTCTTGGGGGCTGACTCCTCGCTTTTGGGGCTTTTGGGGCCCTTTTCGGGGCCAGGCAGGCAGGGCAGGTGCTCTGGGGTGGGACTAGCAAACACAGGCCAAATTACTCGTGGGCCTCGTATCGTCGTTGGCTCCTCCTGATCGCGTGTCGGCTGTCCCGACAGCGTAGGTTCTGCTTGCATCGAATCTCCGCCGTCACGTTGAGTGTCACATCCCCATCCTTTGGCAGCCCCGTCCTGATCAGCTACCGACTTACTGACTGCCTACGAAGCAGACGTATTGACCATCCGCCCAGGAAAATACAAGGCACGCGAGCTGACGAAGATCCTCGACAAAAGAACGTCTCAGCATAACCTAAAAATTGCCAAGAATGGCATTGATATCCCTGGAAAGCTTGTGCGAATATGAATACCCTTTTCCTCCCACCAACTCCCGAGCATCTCCTCAGGTGGCACAGCACCCGCCCTCAACCGCGACGAATATGGGAGAAACACGCCCTGGGTTCCGCTGCAGCTGTTCATCGCGCCCAAAGGGCTGCCACGCCATTCCAGTGGCAGCGGGAGCCAGGCGGTAAGGCACTCGACGAAAGACAGCGAGATGCAGGCGAGACACTCGGGCGCGTCTCCGATTGACTCTTGGGTGAAATGAACCAGGGTCGTTCCTCCACGATCACACGACCAAATGCCCTTGGTGGTATGGCGTGCGAGTCAGGACTGCCGTGACGCTACCCCGCCTTGGCGCCGCCGACCGAGGCTCGACTCCTTGGGAACCCATCCATTGCCTCCTAGCCCCAGGGGTGTGTCGTGTGTCGTGTGCCCGGCGCCGTGTGTCAGTGGAGAGGACGGCGGTAGAGGAGAAAACCTCTCCCAAAGGAGAAAAAACCCTTTTCTCGTTTCCTAGCTTCGCTTGTCTCTCGGAGATCGTCTCAATAAAGTCGTCTTGTCCCTGGACGTCTGGCATCTGGCAGGGGTGTCACATTCATTGGTGGGTCCTGGATGCAATCAGAAACCCCCGGCATACCCAATGTTGACTTACTTCGCCTTCCTGGAGAGGGCAAGGGAGTTGCCGGCCGCTGCTGAGGTATTCGATATTCCTTCGGTAACAGTGAGCGACGCCGGCGACCGAAACAATTCCATCTCTGGATCGGCTTGGGACCACAATAGGACCCTGCGGATAATTGGGTCTCCGATGCAGACATCTCTCTCTCTTTCTCTCGATGGGTCAGACCGACCTGTGGCTGGCTGGGACTCCATTGACATTACTAAAGGGCTCCTCAGAACGGCGGGTACCGACGATAATTGGGCAAAGGGCCAATTCGGCGGAGTGGCCATCTCTCACAGGCTTGCGGGTACCTTGACCCCTAGGGTATTGACTCTCGTGGAGTTTCAGGCTGTGAATCCCAACCAATACCTGCGAAGAAGGTCCTTTTTCTTCAGCACTTGACGTCAAAGACACACATATATGCGATGCTTCCTTCGCCGCTCAATAGGGCAACTGGTCTTACCATCTCGATCGAACGTTTAGTGGGGTTGCATCGAGAGCCCTGTTTTCTACCAACCACACACAAGAATCGCACAAGCCTGCCAATCAGCCCCAGCAGAGGTGCATCTTCCTGCACACGCGGATGGATGAATGCAAATCTTGGGTCGTTGTCGGGAAGGATGCATACACGGACCCATGTTCGGGTACAGCCTTTTGGGGGGGGAGGGGGGGGGGGGCTGAAGATGCATCCAGACCGCTGCTGCCCTGGTCTTCCAACTCATCACTCATCGCCCCCATATGTTTGCTTATTTTCGTCTCCAACCACACTTGCGACGCCGTGCACGACACGATGAATCAATCCTACGTTTGGTTCGATACTGTGATCTGTCTGCTGGGAAAATTTCCTTCTCTGAGGGTCGCCATGTTGACGGAAACGAAAAAAGGATCGACCTTGTTTACGTCAAAGGGGGGAGCGCTAGCTCAATCAGTCATGCCCATCCATCCGTCAGCCAACTCAAAAAATAGGTTGGACGGAATGCGCTCGGCTCCAACGGCTTGCACATGAATGTCTTGTTTTTGAAGTTGCTGCAGTCTCGAAGCCCCCGATGGGGGCAACGGCTGCTCGGCTCAGCATTGCACTCCTTCGTCCATTGCAAGCAGGCTTTGGGGCACCTCGAAACGCGTCATGATGGCATGCAATATTGCAGCCACCGAGCGGTCCCCCTCTCTCTCCTCTCGACACTGCTGTCAAAGAAACGCTTGCCACTGACGCGCCGCGGCGCTGATGATCTGATCCCCTGGCTACGTACACACCAAAACTGCTGCAACTGGCTAGGGCGCGGCCCATAGCCACTTAGCTGAGCGATGAGGTGATCTGCGCCTGGTCACGTATGTCGGCTTTCCAAAGCGACCCGCAAGCAACAAGGCGCTTCCGAGTCCTACCAGAGGGTCTACCTGTATACCATCATGTGCGCTACATAATACTATCACGTTCAGACTCACTCGATCTTCACGACTTGTCTTGTCCATCCCTGAGATTGAATTGGGACGCTCTTCTGCATTTTGACAGGTCTACGCGTAGAATTAGTTCAACCCCTTGCCACCAATGTCCATGCTCTGAGACCTCTCCCATAACCAAGGTTTGACGGGGGTCGACGCGCTCCCAGATTTGTCTGCATCCGAAATAGGGCAGGCAGGCATGGGGATCGAGTCTCCGTGGCGAGCGGGGCACGTGCCACTTTCTCGTCGGATACGAGAAAAATTGGTCCAGCCAGCACTATCCAGCTAGTCATGTAAATTAGTGCTCTGCTCACGATGCCCTCCTTTTTTTGCCGACAGTGGTCAGTCACATTGCGTCTGAAGCGGAGGGAGGAAGCATCTGAAACTTGGAGGCGCTTCCCCTGTTATTCCCATTTCACGAAGAAAGACCTGGTCACTTTACGCCCGTTTTATGTGCTGGCCCGGCTGTGCATTGCCTGTTTGGCTCTCGTTACGATCTGCAACTCTGCAGCATGTCTCCCTTATTGTTCCCCAAGGCAGTCATTGCCGAGCCCCTTAGCAAGATGGCAGAAGGCAATCCTGAGCCCTTGGGGTCGAGGCCCTGAAATCTTGCCGGCCGTCCGCCCACTGATACGAAGAGGAGATGCCCTTGGCCAATTTATCTTGCAACCGCAAATTTGATAACCATTAGCAGTGATACACAAGTCATAGGCAGCAGACTGAAAGAACATGGCTCCAGGCGCTTCTGAGACTGGGCGCCGCTGCAGGTCTGCGCAGCTGAAGGTTCTTGGCGACAGCCTTGACGGTCGCCCGGTCTTCGCTGGTCCTCTGCTGTCCCGGATGGCTGTATCCTGAATGAATTCTCGCGCCTGCAGCTCAGGGCTCGCCCAGTCTAGTATCGTGCGAGACAGATTACTGATTGGCAAGGTGACATATCTGGACGTCCCTGCAGGGCCTCAACTTGGCAGTTTATCCAGCTGATCTGCCCACCGTTTTGTGATCCCATGCACTGGAGCTGCCGAGATGCCAGGTCTTCTTGGCGTATCTTATGCTCGCTCTTGGCTTTGGGACGATGTATTGCACGTATTTGACAGGCATTTTGTACGTTTTGATCTTGTAAGTTGATTCTTGGTTCGAACATTCCCTCTGTCCAAGAGAAAGGTATCTGACTGGTGTGCCGCTTGCAGGAATATCAGCAACGCCATCTTGACTCGACCACCTATGGAACTTACCTATCTACACGATTTAGCGGAGAACGAGAACACTGGAATACCGAAGATTGCAAGAACACATAGTTCGTATTGTGACGACGCCTTTGATGCTCAGCAGGATGTTTTGCAGCTCTAGAGGAATAACTTTCGAGGCCGACAAGAACCATCCGACTTGAGATGATACCCAATATTTTGTGTGTTTGGAATCACACTGACATTCAGGAGTTAAGTGTCTGGGCCAAGAACGCAAGTAAAACGTGCATGTCAGCTGGACGATGGCATCCTCGGCATGTTTACGAGCGATGGCCTTTATCCCTCGACAGCCGCGCCTTGCTAATTTGCAATGCAGATCTTGTTGCATCAGAGAGAAATGGCATGACATGGAGGTCATTTGACTCGCTGACACTCCTTTGGCCAGTTTGAGAAATGGGTAACATCTTTGCATTCGTCCCATCAGTCCACACTATTAGGAAAGCAGCTCGACAACAGCTACTATCGTAGGCACGAACAAAGGAATATTCTTCTGAACGTAAGACTTGATTGTCCCATCGTTAGACGATCTGTTCAGCCTCTCCAGTAAACCAGTAGAGAAGACGAATTCATCCCTCCTTGAAATCAAAACCTTTAGCAACAATACTCTCGATCCTCCATATACACCAACCCAAAGTCCGACAGGGAAATGTGCCACTCCTGAATAGTCTCATACACATGTGTAAGTAACTTGTGTAAGTGTCGTCCGTGCCAATCTCGGCGGTCCCCGTTCTTGAACTTTCGGTTGAGACAGTCCTCACGGCGATCGCAGCCAAAGACGAGCAGATATGCATGTACCATCTCATGGATCAGGCCCTCAATGGCAGCAGCAAAGGCCACCGGACGGACGCCGCCGGACGGTAGCGGGTAGGCAGAACGGACAGTGATGAGAGCGCGAACGCGGGACGACGAGAGGAGACAGCCGCTGACAGCGGACATGTCCGGGATGTTGACGGTCAGATGAACCCAATTGCGCTTCGACATAAGGACGGCACCGGCGGGAAAGACCCCATCTTCGAGATGATGGAAAGAACCCGATGAGACGAACTCAGAGCTCGGACGAGTCAACGTGTGATGGAAGAAATATTGATCAAGAAGCTCGACACAGCCCAAGAGTTTGGCATTGTCCGTGATGTGATCGAACGGTCGTTCAAAGCCTGAGATGAGTAGAGACTGAAGAGTATGCTGGATCTGACCAAGTGCCATGTTCATCGGATCCGGAGGAGCAGTGTTGATGGTGAAAGAGACCAAGTCTCGGATGGAGTTGGCGCTTGGTATGGTGTTTGGTAATGGGTTGGATGCTGGGACAAAGCAAGGACATTGTCCGTCCGAACTTTCTTGATCTTGTTCCCCTGGCGGTATTTGTTCAGTCTTGTTCAGAGCCATCGGATCTTGGCTGAATGTGGTATTCGTCTTTATACAGCGAGCAGCTTGGAATTTCTGAACTCAGATTCAGACGAGGTGTTGAAGTTGATAAGAGAACGACGAGAACGTGGTGGTTTGTCACGGGTTGAAGGAGAGGGAGCTTCGAATGGGATGCCGTATAGATAGATTGCTTGCTCTTGTTCGAAAACCAAAGCTTATTCTTTCTCTCTCGAAGGAGGACTTGCCAAAACTACATAACTGACTACGCTCGATCCAGCCGCATTGTTTGCTCCGAGATGCTCTGGGGAGCAGTTTCCACTTATTTCACAACTTACACAAAGGAGTTTCGAGAAGACCAGTAGCGATTGAAATCTGACTGAGCATTAACAAGTAACAAAGTCTCTTGAGGATCGAGTGCGCTGTGGGGCCGCCAGAGACCGGATAAAGTGGATCCAACGATGGCGGCCCGATCCGGGGCTAGCACCGGGGGTCCCTGTCCCTTGTAGGCTTGCGTTCTCTGCTCCTTTCATGGGCTCTGGCTGGACACAGAATTGAGACTTGAGTGACATTTACAAGGAGAGGGGTGGGCTCCAACTACCTTGATGACATAATAGTAGGCCATCAGTAGCTACGAAGAACACAACTCCAGGTCCAGTTGAGGCTTGCGTGGCGAAGTTCTGGGCAGACGCACGCTAAGATTGGGGCGCGTGGCAGGATGCAGGGCAGGCACTGCTGCGTGGGCCTCACCTTCCGAAGCTCCGACCCAACCTCAGCCTCGTCTAAAACTTCACCCTCTCCCGCTGGCACCACGAATATTGCTCTTTCCATACCGTCTCGGACTGCTTCGGACCTGCATCTGGTTCACGATTTCAGATGCCTCTTCCAGAAGGTCCTGTACCAATCTACCGCATCGATGTCGCTTTGTCGCCCGAGCATCGATACGACGAGGTAGCGCGCGATTTCGCGCCGCAGATGCGCGATGTCACCAACATCTTCGACGACCTGCTCGCCTCCATATTCAAGTACCCTCTCCTGTGCCGCGCCGTGAAATTTCTCGCCAGGTCGCTACTGCGCCGATTGAGCGATGACGAACAGAATCGAGAAGCGCGGAGCATCGCCAAGGTGGCAGGTGTAGACCTCTATCTCGTCGTTGCTCTCAACGTCCTGCTCGATTCACTGATGGGCTGCACAGCGGGATGCATCCTGACCGAGCCCCATCGTCCCAAGGCTTCCGAGAGGAACGGACGGCTGATGCACTTTCGTACTCTCGACTGGGCCATGGACCCCTTGAGGGAGCTGCTTATGATTGCCGAGTTTGTCGACTCGCGCGAGGACCCCAACCGGGTCATCGCGCGGTCCGTCACGTACGCTGGCTTTGTTGGAACGTTGACGGCTGTCAGGTAAGAGAGAAAAACGGATTTTCCATGCTCACTTGCTGACTTTTCCCGTAGGCCTGGCCTGTCTCTGTCATTGAATTATCGGCCCACACATGAAGGCTCGAAGCTTGCACTGCGTAAGCACCAGATCCTTGTACTCTTTGGGCTACGGCCGTCTATCTCGTCCATCTTACGATCGGTCATTCTCAATCCACGCCGCTGGCCACTCTCTCAAACACCACTGAGCGACAACGCACCAACTCCGCTCGTCTCGTTGGTAAACCAACTGGCCAAGGAAGCAACGTCTCCATGCTATCTGACGCTCTGTGACGGCAAAGAGTCGGCCGTCATCGAGAAAGACGTCCACACTGGCAAGGTCAAGACCTCGAACCAGTTCATCGTACAAGCCAACCACGATACCCACGGCTCGCGCTGTTGCGGGCCGAAGCCGAGCCCCGACTCGGATCCGAGCGAGCCGCAAACGACCCTCCTCGGCGCCGAGCTCTTTCTGGAAGACTCAAATGAGCGCATGGACATGATGCAGCAGCAGTGGCTGCTGCATACGGTCGGCAGTAGAAATGACAGCCAACACGAGACAGAGAAGGACGAGCCCAACGGCCAGTGTCTCGGAGAGGGAACTGAGCATCGAGAAGTGCGGCCCACAAAGGGTGTGAGAGAAAAGGCATTACAGGCTTGGATGATGGAGTTTCCCATCATCAATGAGTGCACGCATTACGCCTGCATCATGGATCCCCAAACAGGAGGTATCCGATGGATTGAACGAGGGACGATTGAGTTTGACCCTGAGAACCCACGTTTTTAGAGCTAGACTTGCTCAGCATGGCTGGTGCAAGTCAAAAGCATAAACCGGGCACTCGTGCGAAAACTTGGGAACAGATATGATCAGCCAGCCTCCGTCAAGCGAACTGGACTCCTCCTTACGTTACGGCCTTTTCTACCTATCATGCAACGCTGTACAACCCGAAATGAATGCGTGAAAAGTACACGAACCTACTAACGAGAAAATGCTCGAACGGGACATGCTTGTTATTTCAGCGAATCTGACCTGTTGCTGTCACGGCTGCTGTGGGGGTTGGCCTGAATATTTGACGTCAAGCCCGCCTCGTCGTTGCCCAATCCATAATCCGTGGTCTCCTTCGCGCTCTTGGACGAATGAATGTGCACCGACCGCGTCAACATGATGCCGCCGTGCTGCGACCCGTCGAGGCCGGAGCGGCTGTCATGGGCAGCGTACCCAGCGTAGGCAGAGGAGCTCTTGATCTTACGCGTCCACAGAGCATTGATTGCCGGCAGACAGGCGCAGATGAGACCGATGCCAGCCTCGGCGTTGCTGGTCACTCGTTAGCATGGAACACCAAGAGGATGTTGTTTCGTCACTCGAGCCCCCGATCGGTCGCTTGACTGGCTATGGCACTACTCACCCCGACAAAACGACCTTCGTAAAGACGATGGTCTGGTTCGAAGACTTGCCGTCCTTGAGAATGAGGATGAGGCGGTACACGCTAAACCCTGTGGCGACGCCACCGGCGCACAGCATGCCGATCACTCGGAGCCTCTTCTTCCGCGGCAACTGCAGCGACCAGGTCAGCGGCAGAGGCAGCAGCAGGATGACGAGGTCGCTGAGGACGCTGATGATGGCGTCGGCCGTGATGATGGCGCTCTGGTTGAGGCACTTCTCCGTGTGGCCGTGCCAGTAGGCCGAGATGGGCCAGCAGACGAATATCTTGATGAAAATGCCGAGGCCGTAGTAGATGACAATCATGCCGATGAAGGCGTACATGCCAATCATGACCTTTTTGTGTACGGAGCCGAAGACGCGGAGGATGATGAGCATCAGGGCGAGCTTGACGGTGAGGGCCATGGGGGCGTAGAAGATCGTTGCTGCGTAGCCGGACTGGTGGCGACCATGTTAGAGAAAAGGTTGTGCAACGCGAGAGCAAGGGAAATCATCGGGCGTACCTTGAAGAATGGCTGAATGTCTTCCACTCGGACGTCCCATTGATTAAGGCCGGCACCATAGTATGTCACTGACTCGCGTGTAAGTCAAGGTATATCTCTCTGGAGCACTGCACAAGGACCGACTCACTAAAACATGCGGTGATGCAATACCCGATCATGAGGACCTGTTCCTGTCAGTATTCGTCTGCATGGATCCATAGGGTCAATGGGTGTTACCCATGAAGAGTATGTCGCATCTGATCATGTCTTGTCAGTTCCAACTTTGCTTTTTTGGGGGGGGAGAAAACGTGGAGTCTCACAGTCGTCCCAGCTCACAATGCCGCCCATGACCTTGGTCTTGGAATACAGACGTGCGGCGATGAAGAGGGTGGAAAAGAAAACGGTCAGACCCTGCGTGACGTAGGTGACTGTCCTCAACACATCCTGCGGGTTGTCGACATCTGCCACAACGCCGGCCGGCGGCGGTGCCGCACCTGGATAACTCATGGCGACAATGATTCAATCTCTAGTAAGATGGAAAAGCGGCAAGGTGGAAAAAAGGAAACCGGAAAGACAGGCAGCCTTACAAGCTTACTTTGTAAAAGACGGGAGTCTGCTGCAGGTAAGGGGGGGCGGGCCCTTGAGATCGACCCAGGGTCACGAGATCAGCGGGCACTGCTGAAGAAATCTGGAACAAAAGGTCATGTCGGGTCTTGAAGATGAAATGAATCATATTAACCCTTACTGCAGTAACGTAGCAGCAACGGCTGCAGGTCTTGGTACAAGGATGCAGTAGGGGTCGAAAAAAGGAATGGGACGTATTCTTCGTTGGCCCAGATCGAGGCCAGCATTCGAAGCACGGTCTTGTCCTGTTCGGCTACGTCAAAGCTGGTCGAAGAAACGACGGAAGACGGGACTAAGCGGGCAAGAGATGCGACGGGGAAAAGCGCCTCTTGATCTTGGATGAAGAGGTTGGCAGGGGTCATGCAGCCGGCACGGGGATCCGGCAGAAGACCCCTGAAAATCAGATGGTAAGACAGTGGACCTGTCCCATTGCCAAGAGACCAAGGAGGAGGGTCACCGTCCGGCAGTGACCAACCTCGCTTCCTGATGGGTTCATCATCACGAGATGCATAACACCATCAGGGGTATCTGCTGCAGAGCACTTGGATTACCTGGCGAAGACATGTTGATCTGAGTGATTTTTAACCAACCAGCATCTCTTCATCCCAGGAACTCTTGGTGTTTCGCAGCACACGAACCGCATGCGACATCGAAGCCTCCCAATGTGACATAGTGTGGGGAGGAATGATGGGGCATCCTGGAGAATCAGTTTGGGTCTTCTCATAAATCTACTGGCCTCCAGGTAAATTGCCCTTCTTTGCTGATGTTCTGGCGACGTAGCCTGTCACATCTGTTGCATATCAGCTGCCGATACCCATCACCGCACAGCATCTTGCCGATTTTGTTGTGAAAACTCTATTCTTCTATTCACGCAGTCAGAGCGCACAACACAGACCAACGAACGCGGCCGTGCTTTTCATCAGACCTCGAGCCAAACATGGGTGACGCTCTCATCACGGGGTCCGAGTCCCAACTCTTCCAGCCCCTCAAGATCGCCAATGGCAAGATCGAGCTCAAGCACCGAGTCGTGCATGCACCACTGACCCGGAACCGCGGAACACCTGTCAACGTCAACTCCACCCTCGAGAACCCGAACCGCGTCTGGCTTCCTAATGATGCCGTGGCTGAGTACTACTCTCAACGCGCGACGGATGGTGGCCTGATTATCTCTGAGGGCCTCCCCCCCTCACTCGAGGTATGCAAGCCACTTGTCGTACTGAAACTTGTTTCGTCAAGTGTCGTTCTAACAATAGTATTTCAAGGGCAACGGCATGCCTGGCGTCCCCGGCATTTTCACTCAAAAACAAGCCGAAGGCTGGAGAAAGGTCGTCGAGGGTGTCCATGCCAAAGGAGCCTTCATTTACGCTCAGCTCTGGCACTCGGGCCGGGCCAACATCCCGCACCTCACGGGAACCCCCATTGTGGCTCCGTCGGCAGTGCCATGGGATGATCCCAATGAAACCTTTCCCTACCCTCCACCCCACACGTCAACTCCCGTCAAAATAGCCGACCACCCGCCCATTGAGTTGACGCACGAGCATATCCAGAGAACTATTGAGGACTATCGCAATGCCGCCAAGAGGGCAATCGAGGTCGGCTTTGATGGCGTTGAGCTTCACGCCGGCAACGGCTATCTACCTGAGCAGTTCCTCAGCTCCAACTCGAACAAACGGACCGACGCGTACGGCGGCTCGCCCGAGAAGCGATGCACCTTTGTGTTTGAGCTCATGGAGAAACTCGCCCAGGATGTTGGCCAGGAAAACCTCGCTATCCGCCTGTCGCCCTTTGGGCTCTTCAACCAGGCGCGCAGCGAGCAGCGTGTCGAGACGTGGAACCACCTCTCCAAGGGCCTCAAGGAGCGTCTTCCCAACCTTTCCTACGTCAGCTTCATCGAGCCCCGCTACGAGCAGATCTTCTCCGAGGAAGAGAAGCAGAAATTTCTCAACTCCTGGAACCTGCCCAACGTCGACCTCTCGGGCTTCCGCAAGATCTTTGGCAGCACGCCCTTCCTCTCGGCAGGTGGCTTTGACGACCAGAACTCCTGGGGTGTCATCGAGAGCGGGAAGTACGACGCCATCGCCTATGGTCGGTACTTCATCAGCAACCCGGATCTTCCTGAGAGGCTGCGCGAGGGCCTACCGCTGGCCGACTACGATCGCAGCCGATTTTACGGACCGTTCGAGGACCCCGCCATCAAGTACACCGACTACCCTGCTTATAGCAACTGAGCAATTGGTTTAAAACGGGAGGACATTTTAGACTTTTAGAAATGCAGCGCGTATGTCGCTTTGACGTAAAGTCATGCAATTTATCCAGCCCTGTCGACATCACCTTCATGCAATGCCTGACTCCTCCCCCCACTGCATTGCTACACATGGTGCGCCGACATTCATGACTCGCAAAGCTTACAAGCTTCCAGAATCTGCCCACAAAGCTGTCCTATGACTAAGGGAGTGCGCTGTAGCAACGGTCACTGCGGACTAAATTCAGAATGGAGCATGTGCCAGTGGGCATGGTCCACGCCCGTGCCGAGACCGCGTCACATACTGAGCTTTAGAGCAAGGATGGCAAGGCTGATACTCTGGTCCGAATGACACATGTGATTCCGGCGCCGCTGAGGCGGTCGCGAACCGCCCCTGGTTGAAACACAAGCCTCGGGGTCCATTGCAACTGACACTGTTTGGAAAAAGAGTTTTCATGTTTATTGGTCCGAGACAACAGTTATGAGGTCGGGGCAACAGGAGTGGCGAAGTGCATGCATGTGAGCGTCGACAACAGACTGCCAACCACGCTGGTTGATATCTTAATTATGTCTTGCTTATGGAGCGCGTGGCCTCTTTCGGGATAAGATCGTCCAGTGCCCCAGCCATATGTTGAAACATTGTGTAGTGGGTGTCATGGCTCAGTTCCGTGAACCTACAGCGTGGTAGCCTGTCAACCATGTGTCGTATCAAGGGGATCGGTGCGTTTTTGTCTTTCGCACCATGCCAGACGTGCACGCCTTCATACCCAACATCCTCAATGTCGAAGCCCCAACTGTCGGCCGATAGGAGCTTCGCCTCATAGACCGTCGCTTCGCACCCCTGTCTGAACGGCTCGTCAATCAGCATTCGCAGCAGATTGTCTCTCGCTTCTGAGATGGGCCGCTGCGGCTCTGATGTTTCCGAAGTGGGTTCAGGTTTAGTCTTATTTTGTTCCTCCTGAAGCCATACATCGAGTCGCTTTCGGATCACTGCGGTGCCCAGGAGCCATCGCGCCGTGTCAACGAGCCCCTGCAGCAAGATCGTCAAGCCCCACGGCCACTGGTTCGCCATTCGGCTTGTCGCCCTCCGGGTCAGAGACATGTGCTGCCGCCCTGCCCACCAAGGTGGACCGCTGGCGAAGAGTCCCACGCCCGTGAGCATTTCGCGGGGCAGCGCCCGGGCGCAAGCGAGCGCGTAGGGGCCACCGCCAGAAGCGCCCATGACGGCGAAGCGGTCAATGTTCTGGCCCGTTGCGAAAGCGACGACATCGGTCGGCCAGTCGAGAATTCGTTGTCCTGGTTGGGTGGTCGAGCGGCCGAAGCCCGGCCTGTCGAGGGCCAGAAGGCGGATCTTGCGTTGGCGAGCCATGTCGTCCATGACTGACGCCTCGAGGCGCGAGGAAGGGAAGCCGTGGAAGTACAGGAGAGGTTGGCCTCGAGGATCGCCGTATTCGGCAAACCCTAGAGTCCGGCCATCGGGGAGGGTAAATTCCTGGCAATGCGTATCCGCCAGAGTCGTTGCGAACCTGCGACCGGGGGGGATTGACAAGTGATTGCAGGCGCGGTGGAGCAGCTTGGATGTGGGAATCGACATTGCGATCTATCTGTGTGGTCGTTGCGATTTCGAGATCAAGAACGAGGGAAGACGCGTTTCAATGGCGCTTGTATGTTATTATCCTCAATCGCAGCCTGAGGATTCAAGTTGCCGTCATTCAGACAAGCAAGTGGTTGCTTGCAGTGTGAGCGTCTCACGTGTACGCGTATATGCGGCTCTCATACATCATCGCCGCATTGGTCGTATAAGCCATCCTTCTGGATACCAGACCAATCACATGCCAGGTTGGTTCAACCATCTCAACCTCACGGATCACATGAGTGACGTATGTTGCGTATCGCCTCCAGGCAATTTATATAGAGACCTTGCAATTGACCCATAATCGACTTGTCGTGGGCTCAAGTCTCATTGCAGGCAGCGTGGATATGTATGTACGGCTCGGCACATCAAGGTCCGACCCTGAGGGAACCTCTTAATTCTCGATTGAGCCTCACCCTACAGTGGAGGATGTAGTTGGAGGCGTCGACATGGAACGCAGGCCCTCATAACGATGACCTCGACAACGAAACGCAGCCTGCCCATATCGTCGCCGCTGGTGCGGAGCTCACCAGCGGGTCGGATCTGAATCCTCGTCTAGGGCCGACTACAACACACACCGACGAAGGGGTTGTCGCCGGCGAATTTAATCATACCATCGTGACGGCGCACATCTATCAGATCCATACAACGAACCCTCATCGAGCCCCCACACCAGACTCCTGTCAGACTTCACGACAGACGATGGACGTCGGGTCGTCTGGCAAAGCCAAGAGAGGCACATCGGCCGGGTCGACCAAATCTGCAGGCTCCGGCTGTGACGAAAGACGCTGACGGCGGGATGGCGGTTCCCCATGCTAGGTCTTCTGGCCGAAATGGATGCGCTGAGCGACGACGAATTACAGGAGGGGGTTCCTCGCTCGGTAGGTAAGAAAAGACAAGGGCAGGGTACCAATCCCCTCGCAAAGAGACAGCGCCGCACGAAGCTCTGAGCGGAGAGCATTGGCAGATCGCCGTTTGGCATGGAGAACGGGGCACATGGGTTGCTTTGCACAGACGGGACGGATCGATTGAACATGGCCGGTAGGGCGGTCTTGCTAAACGAACCATTGAAAAAGCGTCTTGGTTTGACAGGGCCATAGGATTGACCATGGCGAAGATATTCATATTCGACCCGAGAGAGGTCACAATATAATCAAGGGCACGGAGCCTGTAGTAAAATGCAAGTCCAATCACAAAGAAATGTGCTCGCTAAAGCATTTCTCCTCATTCAGTACTCGAGATTCTGACCTGCAACATGGGGTGGTCTAGAAGAGAGCGATCCAAGCACCTGAAATAGCCAGCCCAGCCGCCATTTTGAAAAATGAAGAATCTAACTCGGTAGCCAAGCTTCCAATCCGATCATAGCCTTCCACAGTATACTTCTCGCTCGGCACCGTCGTTGCCCCCCACCTGCCCATGTTCTTGATCCGCGCCTCAAAATAGTGTTCCTCGCCGTCCTCAAGCCAAAGATCACCATTGCCGCTATCATTAAGTCCTTCCAAGATGCTCGAGGGATCCCATGTGAAGCTGCTATCGCCGTCAGGGATGCTGATGTTCCTGCCAATGGTGTAGTCGACTGTCGTGCCGCCGCTGGTCAAGGTGATGTAATGCAGGTCGAATGAGCGCCAGTGCTGCCAATTACCGATGCTCCTAGCTCGATCAATTGTCCAGGAGATCCTAATAGCGTTCGAAGAGAGATTGAGGGGCGAATCTGGATCTGGGCCAGTGAAGACTAGGCCACCATCATCTGCTTGTACCGAAGGCACTGTGGTGGCCAGAAAGAACGCCAACGCAATTGATGGAACACGCATATTGGAGATGTGTCGTAGAAGCTTTGAGAAAACCAGAAAATTAACAGAAACTCAGGAGACAATGATTTCATCCACTCATGAAATGTTGAAGATTACAAGAATGTGTCCCGGCAATAGTCGATGAGACCGAGTGCCACGAAGACTGACAAAATTGCACTGATATGAGACAGGTCAGCCTTACTTGGCGAATGACGACAAACTCACAAGCCAAGGCCTGGATTGTTCAGACTAATGAGTTTCAATCCATATGTTGCCTCCGATTTTGGTCACATTCACTTACTAGAACCAAAATTAGGTATCGCCAAGTGACGAAGGATCACCAGCCAGACATGTACCACTTTCTCGTCTTGGCCTACGCTTGATGTTCTCCACAATCGGCACCTACGGCCTTATATGCTCTTGGAAGGCTGGATGGGTTTTCAGCTGCAGCTATGTGCCGCAAAGCCCAGAGCGTCTGTTGATGGTTATATAGACCATCAGACGATCGGGTGTTGCAATTGCCCGACGCATACCGATAAACTTTGAAATCACAGGCCCTTGATTGATCAACACCAAGCCAAAGTCATCAATTCATCAAAGTTCTGGATATGAACTTAAAAAAAACATACAATCCTGGGCCCCCATCCTTCAAGCCAACTTGCTATTAACAAATGTCAAAGCCTCTGCGCCAAAGATAGAACCATACTGCTGGTGGCGCACGGCGTCGTTGCCGTTACAGCAGAATGGGTCAGGTGCATCACAGTACGACTGGATATTCGCCGCAAAGGGGCACTGGAAGCTGGCCGGACGGGCCGCGAACTGACAAGTATTAGTCGATATCACAGGAGTGATGGAAGAAGTAAACCTACGCCTTGGGCGAGACAGTCGCCAACATTCTGAGACTGGCCAGCGACGAAGCGAGGGCTGCCCATCATGATAGCGGCGCGGATCATCTGCTGTGCTGATGCAGAGATGGGAATGCTTGTGTCGGTGATACCGGCGCTCGTGTCGCCGCCGCCGCAGTATGCATTGTCCATGATCTGGCCACCCTGAGAGTAGCCAACGAGGATGATTTGCGAGTCTGGGCATCGCTGGTTGAAGGCATTCACAGCAGTGGCCACGGCAGCAGTGCCCTGGCGGGCGGAGTCGGCATACTGGACGCCGCCGCAGCTGGCCTGGCCGCCACATGCCGGATACACGATGGCCTCGGAAGTTGTGCCGGGGTTGGCTTGGATAATGGAGTTGACGACGGTGCCAGCAGAGCCGAAACCTGGCGAAACGGTAGTCTCACGAGCGCCGAAGACGTGGATCGGGGGACAGTTGGCCTGACGGGCGGTGACTTCCATGGGTGAGGCGGCCGCCTGGCCGAGCAGGAGAATTGTGGCACCGAGTAAAAGCATGCTGAAAATTTGCGAGGCGATCAACTGCGTGGTGTTAATGTTTGACGATAGGGATGCTGACTCTGGTTGGATGAACTGGGACGAGACGAGCTGAATGGTCGAGGTGGTCAATTTATAGTCTCAACATTTTCCTTATGAATGTTGTCATATGAGAACGGACGAGCCAAGGAGTCACGACAGGGCACTTCCGGCGAACCGAGAGCCCCGTGGTGTTGTGTCGAAACGGTTCAGCCCATGGTGATTGATCGTCATTGGCAATTCAGCCGGAATAGAAAGGGGGTCAATGGGTCGTGGTTTGTGGAGCAGCATCCGGCGACACATGCTCCTCTTTGGACGAGATAGTGCTTGAAGGGGCTCGATTCGTCCCCGGGACCAGGCGTCTGCGGGGAGGTTGCACAGAATGGGCCAAGCCCCGTGTGGTGTAGATGAGCCGCATGATGGAGCGCCGATCCCGGGTCAAGGCTTCAGGTCCATTTGCCAAGGTGTTAGGGATCATGAAACAGCCAGGAGACCAAAATACCTGGAAATATGCGCTGGTAGCTCAAGAACGATCCTCGAACCGACTGGCTGAAATAGAGCGTAGTGCCCGCTGGTGGACCAACTTTTGGTACTGATGCTCTGGACAAGGCCCTACGCAAGACTGACCACCCATAGGTGCTATGATTATTGGATACGGATTGTCTCGATGTCGGGAAATAGTTCAACTCACTTGAGAAACTCATAAGAGCACGATATTAAACTAATTCTACCGCAGGACAGCTATCACGGTCGACAATGGTGCAGATGGTGGTGCTGTTATGAAGCCATCACGAGTACAGTGCTACTTACCAAGATGATAACCACCCACACGGAGTTGTGCCGGGGCAGGTGCCGACCACCATGTGCCAGCCAATGATGTGTCTGGATTGAAGAAGCTCTCCGCCCCTTGCAGGAACCCCTCAGGCGTACCTACCTAGCTCCTCAGGTCAATCAGGCACCTTGCCAGTCGCTACCGGTGTCGAACGTCGCGATGTCAATCTTATCCCTCCGCATTTCGCGACTGCTTCGACACCACGAACCAGCGATCGTAACGGCATGGCTGCTCAATCGCGCCCTTAGAATCCTTTGGCGTACGATACTTAGTTGCAGCTCGAGGCATCGATTCAAACCATGGCTCGCCCAATGATAGCTCAGCTGACCAGGGCACTCTTTAATACCATTGACAGCAGCTTCGACGAACCTTCCACTCCGGCGATCCACCTCACCACAGCCGACAACCCTGCACTGGACAATGGGGACGTCTCAAGCGATGACGAACCTAACGATATACCGAACATAATCTTACCCGTAAGTCGATTCGACGACGGATAGCCACCTGGTCGAACATGTTGCTCATGTTGACCTACCTAGACAACGCCTCGTCCTCGAAGCTCGCCGCATGCCGAACTCGTAACAAGCGGACACCCACGTCAAAGAATGCAGCTCGATGGGAAAGAGGCACTAGTTGAGCTACATCCCCTGATGGACGACGTCGAAAACGATCTGTTCATTCCTCTGAACCTAGAACACCTGAACTCTGCCCTCGCTGTGCCACCACGGGGGATCTGTGGACCAGCGGCACCCAGCCCCTTTCCTCTGAATCCTTCGCAACGACCAGGAATACAAAGAAAGATCTCACAGCCCTTTGCCGAACACGATGTGGGCGGCGAGCCGCCACGCCAGACCGAACCGACGGATAAATCTCCGATTGAGTCAAACGACCTACCTTCGCAGACAGCTCGGGCTCGCCTCCTGGAAGAAGATCGTGAAGGAGAGGTATCACGCACCAATGGAGCGTTGATGGTTGAAGAAATTCGGCGGGAGACCGCATGCGCTACGGTCGAACACGCATGTGTTACAGCCACGGAAGAAGAGGATTCCAAGCAGTGGCCCGGCAAAGCACATGATATGACGCCTTCTGCACCAGTGCAAACAATGGCTGGAGGAAGAGATATGGAAAATGGTTCCGTGCCAAGGGAATCCGAACCAAGAGAAGCAACAATGGACCCGACAGAGCAAGCTGTCCTGAGCCAGCCCCCCAAGAATCCAGGCCCCTCTGGTGACGATGATATTGATGAGCCGAGTGCAGATTCAGCTGGAGAGGCAACAGAAAATCTACTGAGACTTGCGACACGACCGCTGTCAGTAGATGTTACCGACCACGCAGTATTGCCCCCGGTGGTGCCAGTCACGCCCGAACCAAAAGAGTGCGAGCATGCGCAAACGCCTAAGCCAAGACGCAGCAGCCGAATTCTTCAAGCTGATCCAACTTCCCATGAAATTGAGCCCCCCGTACTTGGGATCGAGTCATGGGGTCCTGCCTCGTCTCCATCGAGCGCACAGGTGCTGGCCATGCATGGAAACCAACGAGCGAAGCAGAATCATGTGGTCGTCGCAAAAGACCATGAGCCGTACCCAGACGCTTCGTTATTACTCAGTTTCGACCCAAGACGCTTCTCTCCATTGACGAAACCTGTTTCCAGCAAGTATCTTGTGCGAATAACCGACTTGCTGGGTAGTCCAGAGTGGATTCACAGCATGGAGACTTGGAACAACAGGCTCATTGATGACCCTCTGTCGGTCGCGATGCGTTACGAGAGCGACACTTGCAGTCGCTTGGGAAGACAGATGCTATGTCTGGCCAAAGTCTGCAAGGCGATACCGCGTAGACCCGGTACGCGCAAACAGTTCAATTACTTCGGCGACACCGACAGCAATGACAAAAGCCTGGTGCCCAAATACATCGAGGGCGTCGACAATCATGTCGAAGAAGTCACGATGAAAATGCTCGGAACAGACAGTAGCACGCCAGCCAAGTCGCGGCGTCAGGTAGCCATGGACATACGCCGGAATATCATTCCTCTCGCAATCTACACAGTAGAGCTCGTGTTCCTCGCGGGAGCGTCGGCAGTTGGAGTGGGGCGGTTGAACGCAATACCGGAACATGCCGAGCACACCAGTCAGACATTGCAATTATTGCGGCGTGTGCTTGTCTGGGTTGGGAGACTCGAGAGGGCCGCGGCCGAGGAGTTTGCCAGTGCTTCGAATAGACAACAGGACATGGGACCGGATGCGTCGCCTCTTATGCTTGATCGACATGGTCTCGATGTCATGATTCAGAAGCTCCAAAAGGCAGTCGGAGACAGTTATACGGCTCTGAACAAGCAGATCGACAAGGTCAACCGGCCGATTATAAGGCAGGAGAGTCACTCGGACGAGCTCGCCGAAGCGAACCTTCAGAACACTCAGCGGGGAGAGTCAAGGCAAGCCAAGCGAAAGCGCAAGGATGATGAGAAGCAAGCGGCGAGGGAAGAGGCGAAGCGGCGATGCATAGAATCAGTGATAAGGTTCACTGAAGGTCCGACGCGCGACACGAGACGGCCGGCACACCGATCAGTGGCCAAGCTCCTGGCAAAAAGAGGCGGCAGCAATGAACATTACCATCCTCTCGAGGTGCCGCAAAGAGTGCCGACCGCCCCGGGCACTTCGGGCAGAGCATACCCGGATGAGGTGTTCAAACGAGTCTTGCGGGCGCTCAAGTACTCACAGAAGCCTGACGTTGAAACCATTGCGGAATCCATGAAGTACCACGTTGAAGACGTGTGGGACGTCATCGCCCTGCTGAAGAGAGCGGCGGAAGCTCAGCAGCGGGCGGGCGGCAGTAGGATGCCTGAGGGGCTGCGGCGTTCGTTTGAGCATTTGTACCGGCGATGAATAATCTCCCCTGGACGAGGCGAAGTCTTTGATGTCGCAACGAGCATGTGTGTTGTCGCGACTATGCAGATACGATGTATGAAGAATAAAGATACCCATTTCGGCCTTGTTTATTAAACTTCGGGCCCGATATAAAGGGGTTGACGGACGAGGACGCATGTGACCCGGCTGACTGGCGGCGGCCCCCAAGCGACCACGCTCTCCGAGCGGTCTGTCGGACCGTCTCGAGGTTGGCAGAATGCAATGCGACACTGTCAGAGATGGAATCTGGAGATATCACGGAATTCGGATGTTACGGCGAGATGGTGAGTGGGGGAAAAGAGAGCGTATTGTAGTCTTTCTGGTGGGGGCCTGGCATTACGTCTCGGTTTCGGGCCATGGTCTGAGTCGAGAAAACATCTGCCGAAGGACCGGGTGCATTGTCCTGCGGATGAGCTGGCGGTGCGGTGGAGGAAGTGGGATGGAGGGTTTTCGGCAGATTTTGGTGGTGACGGGAATGGACGAGAGCGGCGAGAGTGAAAGGGGGTTCGGGTTTTCCGCCGCACCAAAGCCATCCCTTCGTGCCTGCCCCCACCACCCGCCAGTGACAATTGCACCAGGGGGCCATGAAAGAGCATTGAGGGCTAGGTCGCGGGGAAACTCCGACAACACCTGAGCCCGGAAGCTGGGGCATTCGCCAGTGCTCGAGACCACTAACCCACCTGCCCTTAGCAAAGTAAGCACAGAGATCTGGGGATTGTGGGGGGCTGCCCCCCCCCCTAATCCATCTTTGGTCAGTGGACGACAAGTTGTGCGCGCCTCGGACGAGTGCTGGCGGGTGAGTAGGTGGTGTGGAGCGTTCCTTCGTCAGGCCTTGGTCAGTAGCTAGGCACAGTAGATGCGAGAAAGGAGTGGGCCTTCGGCCCAGGAAGTCGGCACGAGGAAGGAGAGATGGACGGGGAAGAATTTTGGTTCGCGGAGGCAAGCGAAAGGATAGGCCGGGGTTGGTGACTGCCCACCGGGGTTTTTGGGGTCCTTGATGAGTTTTGGGGGCAAGTCATTGGCGATGGTAACTGCCGTGGTTCCTCCTACGACTCCATCGTGACCCATCATGGGTCTATCATGCTTGGCCGCGGCACCATGCAGATAACTTTGGGTGATGAGATTACGATACCAAGCCCACCCTTCTCTATCTTTCTCCCCTCCAGACTCCCATCTCTTTCTGCCCTTCTACCTGTCATGAAGTCCTGACATCCGGTGCATCTGCCGAATTCTCCCCACCTATGTCA